AATGCCAGGCTTCAAACTTAAGAAAGGTGACAAAGTAAAAATAGAAATACCTAAACGCGACCCATATGAAAATACTATTGACTATGACAACAATGGGAACTCGACAGGTACTCACGTTCGTGTTCGTAAAAATAGAAGAAAGTATACAAGAGAATATTATGAAGTTTTAGGCAAACATGGCAAAATGTACAGACTGCAAGCAGAAGATAAAACGACTATTGTCAGACCTCGTTTCAAACTTGTTAAGGTTCAAGGTGGTATACTTTCAAAGACAGTTCCTAACAAATATAAGACAACTCCAGACGAATATGCTAAAGAAGTTGAAAATGACGACTAAGCAATTCTATACCATGCGTAAACTGTCATGTAAGGTGGCATGTAGTCTTTACTCTGTCCCGTTGTTTGCGTATATCCTGAAACGAAATGTGTATGGTTTCCTTCTCCCTGCGTGTCATCCCAGTAACAATTTATAGCAAACTTAACGTCGTCTTTAACATCATATCCTTTACCTTTTGTCATTCCTGACCAATCCCAATATCTATGCTTATGCCAACCTGCTTGAGATGTACTTAAATCTATGTAGTGACTATGTGCAGGTAAGTTTTCACCTGAAATCGTTTTACTTCCACCTGTTTCCTTTGAAGAGTTTGCACAATACAAAAACCTGTCGACTATTTGTTCCCATGCACCAACACCAAACATTGCTTGAGGACCTCTTGCTTCCATTGACGTGTAAATAGAACCTACTGGGTTCATTAAATCAAACATATGAGATATTATAGGATTGTCTCTTTTGAACTTAAAATATAGTGCAACTATTTCAGGTTTCTTCTGGTTCATGTCAGAATATTTTTTATAATATAATCTTATGTTTTCAGGGTAGGTAAAGTCTTGACTATAATATTTATTTCTGTCATCTTCATAATAGTATACTATTCTCGTTTTTTCTATTGCATTATATCTTTTATATCTATAAAAATCTAAATATAATGTTAGCTTTTGTTCATCTACATGTGGTGTTCTAACGTCATCTCCATAGTCATAATAATATGGTGCTGGAGCTGGGTCAGGCAATGTCATATCTGCCATTTCATAAACTCTTAAATATTTCTTTTGTTCGTCTCCATAGAAGTTTAAGTAGCAGTTGTTGTCTAATGGAACTTTAACTTGTGTACCATCGTTCTTTTTATAGCTTACATACATTTCATTGTTATTTTTCGGAATGAGTTTATACCGTGTACCATTTTCTAAGGACTGTACCAACTGCCATCTAAAATATTTATTTTCTTCATTGACAGAAAGGTCACCAACAATAGTCTCAATATTTTTTGTTCCAACTAAACTTTGGTATATTTCATTGACATATGTTTTATCTGCTTTATTTTCAAGGCTAACGTTTAAGTCTGTTATTTCAGAAGATGTATGTGTATGTCCAACGTCACTTTTCCTGTTTAAGGTTTCTTGTAAGTTTGTAATATTTGCAATGGTATGTGTATGTCCAACGTCACTTTTCCTGTTTAAGGTTTCTTGTAAGTTTGTAATATTTGCAATGGTATGTGTATGTCCAACGTCACTTTTCCTGTTTAAGGTTTCTTGTAAGTTTGTAATATTTGCAATGGTATGTGTATGAGTCTTTTTAGAATATTCGTTTTCAGCTCTTGTCACTTCACTTGACATTTTATTGTCAACATATGTTTTGTCAGCTTTGTTGTCAACATCTGCTTTTGTTGCATATGTTGCATCTGCTCTGTCATGTTCTTCTTGAACTTTTTCAATGACATACTCTTTGTCAGCTTTGTTGTCAACATCTGCTTTTGTTGCATATGTTGCATCTGCTCTGTCATGTTCTTCTTGAACTTTTTCAATGACATACTCTTTGTCAGCTTTGTTGTCAACATCTGCTTTCAAAAGAAGTTCATCTATAGGTTTCTCGTTTAAAGTTCCTTTTGTTGGATTTATACAAACAGTATGGTTCCTATTGTCTTGAAATAGAAACTCATCTGTCATTGGGTTTAATGTCAGTTTTAAGTTTCCTTCTTTCAATGACTCAGATATCTTAGAATAGTTTGAAAAGTTTGTTGTGTTCTTATTTAGAGCTTGCAAAATGAGTTGTCGGTTGTGTTTTATTTCTCTCATAGACGCTGTTTCTTTCGACATTTTTATTCTAGATAAAATATGCTTTCAATAGAAAAAGAAAATTCAAGAGTTGCTACAACTAAACCATTAGATGAACTTTTTACTAATGTCGGTCAAAAGTTTGAGACAGAGACCGTAAAGCATGAAGGCTATCGTTTTGACTACCCATTAAGATGGTTAAGAGACCCATCCGTCACAAAAGCTATTGGCTTTCGTAGAATGAAGTTTGTGTCTGTAGAAGATAAAAGTTTTCCATTTATTGTAAGGTTTCATATAGATTATATATCTGAAGGGAAACGAAAAATGTGGGAAGAAATTGAGCTAATACAAGTTGACCTTTCATCTTCTCTACAGACTGCGTTAAAAAATATAGAAGATAAAATAAATTCATGTTATGCAAAATATGCTGATGAATATGCAAATACCGAGAGCACACTTTATGTGAGAATTGTATATGACAAACAAAATTCACAAGTGTCATTTCAAATCTACGAAGACAATCCAAAGAAAGACGAACAAATATATACAGAATTCACTGCAATGTCATGGTATTATTTGCAAAGAATGTTAAATCAGAAAGTCGAACTTCCTTTAGCAAATATTTACAGTCGATATGCAAGAGATGAACCATATTTATTTAAAGATGTTTTCGACCCAGCTGCTATTATTGTTCATGCTTCATTTTCTGGCGCCCAAAACTCTTTCTTATGCTTGGCAAATGACTTTTACGAAAAACCTACAAAGTTATATGAACCGCCGAGTGGAAGTATTTCAGACTTTCAAGTATGGTTTACTACAGATGGAAGAAAAAGAATAATTCCATTATACTATGCGTTTTACTTAGAACTTAGTTTCATATACAACTACTATCGAACGGTAAAAATATAATTTTTTAATACGGTTGAGGTGTTGGATTTGGTTGCCAACTAGACTGTGGTGCAGGTTCAGGCTGTTGTATAACAGGAGCTTGTTCTTCTGGTTCAGGGTCTTTAGGTATAATACCAACGAACTGACCTACCCTTTTACCAATATTTTTGACACCGTTCCATACTCCTCTTCCTACGGTTTTTATTCCATTCCATATACCTCTTCCAACATTTCGAAAGAAGTTTCCTATCTTACTGAAGAAACCCATTTTACTATATGTAAAAATCTAATGTCCGCCTAGTCTCTTACGTTTCCTGTTGAGTTCCATAGCATTCTTTAACTGGAGCTCATACATTCTATTTCTCCTCTGGTAGAAAACATACTCTGGGTCAACTCCTGTGTTCGCGTCATCTGCATAGAGTTGTTTATATCCCACTTCAGGGTTTGTATAAAACTCTTTCCATCTCATATTTGCATACCATGGTGGCAAACCTAACGCAGCGTCATTTGACATGGCAGTTTGCATTTGTACATCTGTTGGCACTTGACCATAGTTTGCCATTGCAGTTTGTATTCTAACTTCATTTGGAATATTCTCTGGGTTTGGTTGTCCAGGTTGCTGTGCATTCGCTAAGTTCTGTGCGTCCATTTAATATTAGATAAAAATATCTCTTACGAGTACATATACTGAACATTTGCAGGCATTGGTTCATCTTCATATTCTCTATATCTTTCTGCCACGTCAAATAAGTAAATGACACAATGGAAAAAACCTAAAACAAGTAGTCCTATTTCAAACCACATTTACTTACTAGTAAAATTTCTTTGTTATGACACTTTCTCCAGTTTATAGGACCTCTCTCATATTCTATCTTATCGTATCTAAACTCATAGTCATGTATGTCCTCTAACCATCTCATGACACTTTCCAAACCACTTTTATCGGATGTAAAGTAAAAGCATGGATGGTTATGTATAACGTCTAAAGTTTCTAAAGAGTCTCTCAAAGTCCAGTCTACTTGGTATTGAAAATCCCATGTGTTATAGAACGGCGGGTCCACTATAAAGAAAACATTTTCCTTGTCTTTATATTTTTCATACAACTCTGTCCAATGACATCTCACAAACTCTATACCCTCAATATATTTTTCTATGTTCTCTTTGAAAACATTTGTATAGTTAAGATATAAAACTTTTGACATAAGTGTTTCAATGTCATGAACTCTTATAGCACCACTATATAATAGTCTAGCAGATATACTATCCCAGTCAATATACTCTGCCTTTTTCAAAACCTCTCTGACAGTATTTTTCTTATCTAATGGTATACGTTCCATCTTACCTATAGGTATCTTTTCTTTTAACTCTTTCAATATTTTGTTTGTGTCTGGTATATGTTTGAGACGGTTCATATAGTTGTCGAAGTCATTGCATATAATCTTTGAGTCAGGAAATATTGTATGGCACAAATGAGATATATAGAAACTTCCACCGAACAAGTCTACAAATGTTAGACCATTCGGTAGTTTCTTAAGTTCTCTCAATAGAATATCTTTACATCTACTCTTATTTCCAAAGAAGGGTAACGGTGGTTTTGTAAAATTCATTTTATATATATAATAAAAATGTTTTTTCCCTGAAAAGTGACAGAAAAGTGACAAAACATCTTCGGGGCTAGAGGGCACGAAGTGCCTGGAAGCCCCACTACCTTTTTTTTTTTTTTTTTTTTTTTTTTATTGCAACATGAAATATAACTACAGAATATATTTTTATCCCCATTTAATTGTTTTCATTTTTTTATCAAGCCAATGTAAACTTCAGAAATTTACACTTTTCCGACGTTTTGTCAGGGGCGCGAAGCGACCTAAAAATATCGGAAAAGTGTAATTCTCAGATATATGATTATTTTTGCTTTTAATGCCGAACAGCATTTGAATCAAAAATAATCGTATGTCTGAGAATTCACTTTTTATTAAAAACCTTTTTTTTTCGTTTTCATGAAGAAAGTATCTTATGAAGAGTTGATGGATTTGTACAAAGACTTTAATTATGTATACGATTCATTGTATAAGCTGAAGACTTTCAGTGAAGAAGGAATTAACAAAATTTATCTTGATATCAAAAATTTAATGTTTGAAACCAAACGTGCATCTCCAAATCAAATTCTAACAATAATTTCTACTGCAATGGCTTTTAATATCAAGTACATAAAGCAATACATGGAAATTTTCAAAAGGATTTATCAAGAATATCATCCAATCTTTACCAGAAAAGAAATTCAAATCATTCCATACATTTTTTGGGCTGGTTTACAAGATGAAAATGGCGTTTTATTATCAACGAGGTATAGTTCTGGAATTGAAGCAAATAAAACTAAAGATTATTCATTGAATTTCTTTGAAGACAATACAATTTACAGAGCTATTATATATGATGACAAGTTTTCTTTCATAATTTTCACGGAGACAGATAGTTTCGACGAAAATCAAATGTTGGTTAGTGATTTGTATCCATCTTCACCTAACTCATTGATTGAGTTATGTTGCTATCATGGAGCTGTTAATTGTTTTAAGTTGTTAATTTCAAAATTTAATTCAATGATAACACCAAAATGTCTTTATTATTCATTTTTGGGCGGAAATCCAGACATTATTGATAAATGTTTGCAATATAAGATTCCAGATAAAGAATGCATGAAATATGCAATTATTTCACATAACATTGATTTTGTCACCTTCTTAATGAATGAATTCAAGTTAGAAATTGATTTAGATAATTGTACCACATACCACAATTTTCAAGAATTTTTAGTTAATTTAGATCAATCCAAATACATTAACAAATTCTTTATTTATTCAGTATGCTTTTGCATTCCTTCTCTATGTGAATATTTCATTTCATGTGGTGCTTTCATTAACGCAAAAATTCAATCCGGGGCAACTGCGCTTCATTTTGCAGCATGGGCTAATTGCATAGAAATTGAAGAAATTTTGATTTCACATGGTGCTGATGTTAATGCCAAAAATAATGATGGAGTGTCAGTTTTTCATGCAGCTGCACAAAATAACAGTAAAGAAATAGCCGAACTCCTTATTTTGCATGATGCTGATGTTAATTCTAAAGACAATGACGGATGGTCAGTTCTTCATGCAGCTGCACAAAATAACAGTAAAGAAATAGCCGAACTCCTTATTTTGCATGATGCTGATGTTAATTCTAAAGACAATGACGGATGGTCAGTCTTTTGTGTTGCATCAATAGCTAATAACAAAGAAATAGCCGAATTACTTATTTCGAATGAGGTAGATATTAATGCAAGATAAAGATGAATAAGCAACTCTTCATACATCAACAGACAATAACACCAAAGAGTTATCATTTTTCTTTGGATTTATGATTCTTGTTGCAAGAATCTTGTAATTCCAAATCTGTAAAAAAAAATTTTATTTTTCTCAAGCCACCATTTTTATTTAACAACACGAAGCACCAAATTTAGATATTTGATATTGAGACTGAAATACAATCACATATATCATAATTTTTTTTCAATGCTTTACAAATTACCGTTTTATAATGAACCCAGACAATGTCGTGAATGATCTATGGGGTCAAATTATAGAGCATGAAACAGAACCTATTAAACCATATGGAGCTGGAGATTCTCATGTTTTATTTGTTGGAGGCGAACAATCAGGTAAATCCTCTTTGATTAATCAATTTTTTGGAAGAGGAGATAGTACTTATCCAACACTTGCTCTAGCTTACCAATGCTGCAATCTTAAAGTCAATGGAAAAGAAAAAGTCCTTCATTTTTGGGAATTAGGTGGTGGTGTCCAAATGGAATCCCTTATTCCTACAATTGCTACAGAGGATACCATTAGCGGATTCGTAGTTTTTGTTTGTTTTGACCTTTCAAAGTCAGCATCGATAATAGAATCATTAGAATGGCTAGATATCCTACAAATGCGCTTAAAAGATAAACAAAATGCAATATTCTTAGCAGGAACCCACTACGACTTATTTGAATCGAAATCGCCTCAAGATAAAGAAATAATAGTACAAGGATTACGATCTATCGCTGCAGAACATAAAGTTGGTTTAGTTTTTACATCTTCTAAAATGGAAACACTTATTAATAGATTCAAAAATGTGATAAAATACGTTTGTATTGCAAATTCTAACGTTAGAGAGAAATCTGTCGACTTTTTCAATCCAGTAATCGTTGGACCAGGTGCTGATACAGAACTACAAACCAGTGGCCAAGAAGTTGCTGATATGATGAATAAATTATCCGCAGAAATCGCGATTGAAAAACGCGACAAGTCTTCCAATAGTTTGAAGAATGTTATAACTGATCCAGGATTAGCTGAAGAAGATATTGACTCCCTTTATCTTGCAAAGAAAGCTGAGTTGAATTCCAAGAAGGCCAAATAACTATTTTGTATGAATATGATTATTTATAAAGTATTACTATACAAATTTACTTTTAATTTTTTCTAAAACTACAAAAATCATTAAATTATTTTTTTTTTCAAAGATATAATTATATAATTCTCCTACAAATTCATTAAAAATACCATATTCTATTGTAACTCGACTATTTTCATTGGTTACTTTATAAAAATTTGATTCTCGTAATTAATTTGAAATACTAACAATATAATTAAGATTTTTATTCAAAGGACATACAAAATATAATATTAATCTCAAATCCTTCCATATATTTCATAAAAAGAATATTAAATAAAAATATCATCAAATATAAAAAAATTAGTTACTTTTGAGCATCAAATTTGTCTAGTTTTTCTTGTAATTCTTCTATATCCATGTTATATATATTGGTATATTCTTTGATAAACAAAAGTTGTGTTGCAATATCTGTAATTTGAGCCATACGATCTTGATCCTTCGATGAGTCAACTAGGGCATCTGTAATGTTTGTTTGAGGCTTAATTAATGAAATTAATTTAATTAGTAACTGTTTGATATCAACTTTTGTATTATCTGAATCACCATCTGACACATAAGAAGATTCATCTTCTTCATCGGAATTATCAATATATTTTCCATCCTTAAAAGTTCCCTCTTTTAATTCTTTAACTAAGGAAAATGGAACAACTTTTACACCATCAACTATCTTGTAATCTTCATCTCCTTCCAAGACTACTCGTTCATTATGATTTTCTAAATCTTCTTGTGCTTCTTTTTCAAGTTTAGCATTTATTTCTAACATCAAATCTTGATCAGTTCTTGCATTGTACTTATTATACTTTGTAGTTTCACCTCCTTCTTCAAGATTCATCAAAAAATTTTTATAAATCACCAGTTTATTTTTATACGACCCTGTGATTTTTAGCTAAAATTCAAGAAAATGGAAGAAGTTATTTTAGTGCTACTGCACACATTTCAAGGAACTGGAGATGGCACAACAGAAGCAGTTACTGAATCAACACAATATATTCAATCAAAAATATCTTCAGAAGAAGCACACAGCTTTTATCAAAATTTATTAACAATAATAATAGATTCACAGAGCAATTCATCAATTAAATTAGCTGCACTCAATGTGTTAATTCAAGGTGAAAGAAATTACCCAGACTATTTCCCTTATGATTTAATACTTTCATCAATAATACAACTTCTTCAAGCAACCACATCAGAATTACGATCATCAGTTTCATTTTTACTCGATTCTGTTGTTTCACATACAATATTTACAGATTTATTTGGTAATCCAATTGAAATTTTATCAACATTATTCGAACAGGATCTCATTGGAGCCTTAATCTTATCTAATTCCATATCAGATGCATTTGCGCATGTGAATGACGAACAATTACAAGTTTATCAAGAAATATCAAACTATTTATTAACTATTTTATCACAAATTCTTGAACAGAGATCATATTTGTATTCAGCATACTGTCTTTCTACAGGATTCAATTTCATGAAGTCCAAAGTTCCATCATTTTTCGGAGATAATCCTGAAAATCTTTCAATTTGGTTACATTATGCATTAGAATGCCAAAATGTATCAGAAGATAACGATTACAACTTATTTACGCAAAAAGCTTTGAAATTTATAAACCAAATTTTATATAAATCTTCAGGAAACTATCCAACATTAGAACTCATCCCAGAAGATGGATATGACATCTTTGATTGTGCTGCTGCTCTCACAACCTTCCAAAATCCACCAGAGACACAATCAATTTTGTCAGAAACAGTCGACCAAATGATCACAAATAAACACACTTGGAACATGATGTCCTGCCAAATGGAGACAGTTGTTCAATACGTTTTCATGCCTTTCTTCACTTTAACTGTTGAAGAAATTGAATACTTGAAAAGTGACAAAACTGCCGCCAATTTTATTTCATCAGTTTTTACAACTCCTTTGAATTCTAGTGATCCAAGAATGTATCTACATGGAAAGATTAATTTGCACTGCAGAGATGAAAATAAAAGTAAAATAATCGGCGAAGCGGTTTCGACGGTTTTGACATCGTTATATAATATATATGCAGAAAGTTCTGAAACAATTGATGACATGATTTACACGTTCTTTTCATCTCTTCTGTTCTTTTCTTCCGTTGGTTATTCAATGGCTAGAAATAACCAAGAATTGGCAAATTCTATGTTGTCACTTTTTGTAAATTTACTTGAAAATTCTGACAATTTGCTACTTAAGATTGGATCTTTAGTAGCAATAGATAGTTTCTCAATAGAACTTCCTGATTCTGTCATAACGGTTTTCTTATCGTTCTTGGCCGATGAAAACTGCCAACTTTTACTGAGATACTTCAGTTGCCAGTGTTTTTCAAATTCGATTTCTTTAGTTTCAGAAGAAAGCGACCTCAAAAACGCCGTTATTAGTGAAATAGACACAATTTTGAAGAGTTTTGTTAGTTTGGCAGATTCTTTCAATGATATTGAATTTTTCAGAGGTCTCTCAAAATTTGTGAAATGTTTTGGCAAAGTTTTATCACAAGATGACAATGTTACACAACTTTTATTAGAAATATACATAATTAACTTTGATCACAATCGTCCAGAAAAGTCGAACGCAGCTCTTTCAGCTTTATCATGTTTATTACCTTATTTACAAAACCAGACACAAATTGAGTTGTTACAAACTGTTTGTAATTCAGCAGTTGAAAATTCATTGATATCAAATGAATTACTTGATTTCACAGCAAACTTAATAGCATTACAACAAACAATAACTGATGAAATATGGACATCAATAAAAGCATTAACAGAAGTAGTTTTAAATGGAACAGAATATTCTCAACCTTTATATTTCTTGTCTTCATTTTCTATCGTTCTCAAAAACTTGATAATCAAAACATCATCGAATATAGAAAGTTACTGGGATTTCCTATGGGATCTCATCAATTTTTTGCTTGAGAATTCTATGAACACACAAGATTCAAATGTTGTAAATCCAACTTTACAAATTTCCTTTACAATTTGTAATGTTCTGAAAAATAATTTACCAGAGAATGTCATTGGAATCTTTTCACAGATATGCGAGCAGTTAATGAATGATAACAGATACTTTAGTTATGTTTCTATTTTGTATTCTTCATTGATTATCTCTACAAAAGGAAATATAATCAATCAAGAAATGTTTAATTATTGGATTGAGAATTCTTCTTATTTTGAGTTGATTGTTGTATTACTTAACTGTCCAGAAGTATATGGAGATAATTATTTCTCAGTAATTTGTAAAATTTTGACACAAATTACCGAAGATATTTCAAGACCTTTGTTCGGAGACGAAGAGGCCTATTATCAAAACATATCTCCAACAGAATTTACTGTTAATGAGTTATCTTTCTATAAAGAACATGTTGTTATGAAAGATTTTGCAAATTTACTTAAGAATTTGCCAGAAGAACAGAGAAATGTAATACAAGCAGAAGTTTGCCAGAAAGATGTTAATGATATCGCTAAGGAAATTACTAATTTCTTTGATGCAAAAACAAATTTATAATTTATTTTTTATAGAGTAAAATATATACAGATACTTTCATTTCTTTAAATGCTTTTTAAATTTTATTGTTTCGAATTAATTTTATTAATAAGTTGAATAATATCTTTTGATATCGAGTTTATAATCAATATTTAATACATAAAGTATATTTTTCTTTTGAAATTATATGAATATGCGCAATGGTTATGGAACCATTTGATATTTTATCTGCGGTATATTCTTTCAAACATCATTCTTTTCATTTTAAATATAAATGTATTAAATTTTATGTATCTAAACGAAATATAAACATTTTATCTGATATTATTAAACGCAAAAACATAAATATATGGGTCGTTATCGATTTTGTAATTTAATCGTTATCGTTATCGATTTTGTAATTTAATCATTATCGTCTTTTTCTAAACGTGCATTTTCTTCATATTGGGATAATGAACATAACTTGTTCTGAGCTTCCAATGCACAAATCGTTTTTATTCTAAATGGATTCATTCCTACAAGTTTGGCAGAAATCAGTGAATATCATCATATATCGAATTCTTCAATTTGGCAATTTATTTAAAATCGTTCTCAAGAATTCTTATCTTCATGTAGTCAAATAAAACGGAAATACGAAAACAAACTTTTATTCGATATTACAAAAAAAAAATTATATTGATCGCTAAGATTTAAATACGTATAGTTTAAGTATATGTGGTATCATTATGTGCATATTCTGATATATATACTTGAATGATATCACAAAAATAACAGAAATACAAATCTTGAATTAAATTATATCATAGAATACAATTTTAATAAACGAAAAATCAAACCCTCTCGCAATACAGCCATTTTTTAAGAGTAGTTCTTTCAAGATCTTGAAGTTTGGAAGATCTTGGAAGAACTGCCCTCTAAATGGCTGTAGCTTCGGTATTGTTACTATCAAGTAGAAAGTTACGGTAATTACTGCCATTTTAAGAATAGTTCTTTCAAGATCTTCGAAGATTTGGAAGATCTTGGAAGAACTGCCCTCTAAATGGCTGTAGCTTCGGTATTGTTACTATCAAGTAGAAAGTTACGGTAATTACTGCCATTTTAAGAATAGTTCTTTCAAGATCTTCGAAGATTTGGAAGATCTTGGAAAGAACTGCCCTCTAAATGGCTGTAGCTTCGGTATTGTTACTATCAAGTAGAAAGTTACGGTAATTACTGCCATTTTAAGAGTAGTTCTTTCAAGATCTTCCAAATCTTCGAAGATCTTTGAAAGAACTGCTCTCTAAATGGCAGTAGTTTCGATGTTAACATGATAATATGAGTGAAATTTTCTTATTTGAAGTCGGTTAAAGAGCAGTTCTTTCAAGTTCCTTCAAATCAGGAAGGGTCTTGACAGAACTGTCCTCTTATTGATTGGAATACCGGTATTTTACGTTGGTAAATGCTTGATTTGAATTGGGGGCTGAGTGTTGGAGAAAAAAAAACATTAAAAAAATAAAAAGTGCCAAAATAAAAGAATTCAATCTACATATATATAGTATTTCTAGGCCTGTCCAAACTTTTAAAAAAGCTTACCACGTGGAAGGAAGAGACCAAAAAAATCGTGCCTCGGCGGCTTCGCCGCCTCGGCACTAAAAACAGCATATCATATTTAATATGTCCTTTTTTCTTTCTTCTCCTCTTTCTTTTCTCTCTCTTTTTTCTTTCTTCTCTTTTTCCTTCTTTTCTTCTCACTTTCTTTTTGGAGCTGCTTTACTTTGAAATCTCTCATCAATTGATGAGAGAAATAATAGTAAAGTAGCTTCAATGTAAATACGTACATTGATTGGGTTATGGTTAGCGGTAATGTCTGTATGTAGTTCGATTGGAGCTGCCTCACTCTGAGATCTCTCATCAAATGAAGAGAGTTCTCAGAGTGAGGCAGCTCCAATGTATATGTGCGTATTGATTGGGTTGCTGTAAGAAGCAGTGCTTGTGTGTAGTTCGATTGGAACTGCTTTACTCTGAGATCTGTCATCAATCGATGAGAGTTCTCAGAGTAAAACTGTTCCAATGTGTAATCTTGTGCTAGCTTGTCTGTTCGATTGGAACTGCTTTACTCTGAGTTCTCTCATCAATTGATGAGAGAAATAAGAGCAAAGTAGCTCCAATGTATATATGTGTATTGATTCGGTTTGGTTAGCTGGACTGTCTGTGAGTAGTTCGATTGGAACTGCCTCATTCTGAGATCTCTCATCAATAGATGAGAGAAATAAGAGTAAGGCAGTTCCAATGTATATAATCGTATTGATTTGGTTGCTTTAAGTTGGAGTGTTTGTGCGTAGTTCGGTTAGAACTGCTTTGCTCTGAGAACTCTCATCGATTGATGAGAGTTCTCAGAGCAAAGCAGCTCCAATGTGTAAATTTGTATTAGTTCGGGTGAAAGAAGTTGTAGTGCTGGTGCGTAGTTTGACTATCAAGAAGCTCGCGATTCAAAACTCATCAAATGAAAAGTTTATAGTGGGCTTCTTGATAATATGTTAAAGGTGATGTTCTTGTTCGAGTTGTAACAAGAAGGAATACATGAGTACGTAAGCTCGGCATTCGCCGAGCGAATTAAAGATAACGGACGAATTTAATTTATTTTATTTCAAAATTTAAAATTTTAATATTTAATTATATAAATTAAAATAAACATTTTTACAAATTTTTATAAAAAAATATGTGACATATCGTTTTACCACAATTCAAAATAATTAATGTTGATAAATGTATTTAATATGTAATATTAAACATATTTTGCGCGAGAAGTGAGTTGTGGTAACTTTCGTGGATATCCATCGTTCATTTTATGGTAAAAATTCTCAATTTGTGGGAAAAGTTCTCAATTTTGTGGTAATTTTTATGTACCACAACTCAATTTGTGGTCACTTCATCTTACCACGTGGTAAGTTTTTATAAAACTCTTTATTTACCATTGATTTCTGATTTAATATCAATATCTTGAATAATCAAGCATATCTATCGCTTTAAATTTTATTCTCTAATTCCAAAAAAAATTCAAAAATCAAAAAATGAAAAAAATATTTAGAATTTTTTCCGTCAAAAATAAAAAATGTTCCCACTGAGTGGTTTCCATGGAAAGTTACCACTGGGTCCCACAGGGATTGGCCTAAGTATTTCTTAATAGAATGTGAAATAAAGTAAAATTAACTATATTCAAAATGGAAAAAAATCCAAAAAAATTTTGAAAAAAAGAATTTCATGATAAAAAGCATAAATTTTGCATCAGAAAATTAAATTCAGGTATTTTTTTGAAATAGAAAGAGTCCTAAAATTAGTTAAAAATCATTTTTTATTCAAAAGAAACGCTATTTTTAAGGAATTGAAAAGAATTTTATTTAATAATATTTTATTTATAGAATTTGCATATATCATATGCATAGACATATTGAATTGTAAACATGAGAACACTAATTACATTAACTTGTCGTTCAAATTATTGCATCGAGAAAAAAGTGCTATAAATTTACTCAATTAGTTTACAAACGTAAATATTTGGCATAAACTTTACGTTTGTAAACTAATTTGGTAAACTCGTAGTTCAAATTATTGCATCGAGAAAAAAAGTGCTATAAATTTACTCAATTAGTTTACAAACGTAAATATTTGGCATAAACTTTACGTTTGTAAACTAATTTGGTAAACTCGTAGTTCAAATTATTGCATCGAGAAAAAAAGTGCTATAAATTTACTCAATTAGTTTACAAACGTAAATATTTGGCATAAACTTTACGTTTGTAAACCAATTTGATTAAATTTAGTAAATTTTAGTTCGAATGCAAGTTTTCTCGGTAAATCATTTTTTAGACCTCAAATGAGATGTATGATCATATGAGTCACATATGATTTAATCCGAATATGTGTGAGAATTGAGTTTAAAACGAAGTTTATTTTTTGGACTATATTTCGCCATTTTAAAATGTGTAATAATGATATAATTCGCATGAAATTGAAAAATATTGACTGGATGTGTAATGGTTTTATAATTGCAATGTTGATTTGATCGAATTTAAATGAATATATAACGCGATGAAATTTCGAATTGCTCAAATGTCTGTAATTCATATATGGTGCACATATTAATATTACATTTCGTTGATATTTACCACATAAACCTTTAAATATTAAGTCATTTTAAAGTTATATGCGATTTAGTTCCAAAATGCACGTTTAGAAAAAGACGATAACGATTAAATTACAAAATCGATAACGACCCTAAATATATAGACAATTTTTCTTATTTTCTATTGGTGATTCCACCAAACATTGCATCTCTGAGCCAATTCCTACAATCATCAAGTTGTGTCTTTAAAGACTGGTTCCTTGATTCGAGTTCAGCAACCTTTCTCTGCAATGTGCACGAGTATATTTTAAGCCTATTATTTTCTTGTGAGAGCTCTATAGAATCTTGCGTTGTCTTAGATATAGGAATTTGCTGAACAGGCATCACTGAAAATTGTGTTTGTGAGAATATCTTGCTATTTCTAAACATAGATGCAGTCATAAGTGCTGGATCCCTGTATGACACTTGATCTGTATCATTGAAGCCAGCAGCGAAACTTTCATCAGCGTCGAAATCAAAATCCCAACCAGTCATAAATTATTTGGTTTTAAGGGTGCCCTATAGACGATAGACCACCCTCAGAAAAGCACTTTTAAGGCTATTATATTGAGAACTAGAATCCGGATAATCCATTCATTCGAGTTCTAATAAGGTTAATTTTGTGATGTTTACATTATCGTTATAGGGCACCCTTAAATCATAGTTATTTATTTCAAAAAATCAAAGCAACCGTAAACCATTCTCAAACGATTAAAATCAAAATTATGACATAACAATGAACTATAAATTGTTATCATAATATCTGATTTGAATAATTTTACTTTGTCACACCATTTATTCAATCAGACTTCAAATACTTTTATAGTTCCTAAATATAATACATATAATAATAGTTTGAATTGTTTATATTTTTGAATACAGTTGTAAAGATTTCAAATCAATAATATTTGAATCCTGTAGGATCATAATCAAAGGATTGGATGCTTATAGTCCAATATATAAAATATCAAGTGAGCTCAAAATTTTACAAAGAACTCAAAAAGAACTGAAAATGTTTAGATCTATTAGCATATTAATCATCCATCTTATAACTATTAAATGGATGAAAGAAAACTAAGGAATCTCGATATAAAAAATCACCTTTCAGATATTGATCTGTATTTCAACTACTCTGAATGAATGACTACTAAATTTCCAATTGATTTTTGCCAAATCCAATAATATCAATCATCAATAATTTTTATTTTTTTCAATAATTAATTAATTGATCTTGAAATTAAAAATTATTATGTCTCTGAGATAGAATTCAAAAATTGTCATTACAGAAAGGTTACATGTTTCACTTCATTCTTTAAAAATCTTAATAAGTATTTTGATTCAATATTTCTCAAAGTGATCCATAGAAAACACACATTCATATCAATTTCTGCAAATTTACAATAGTTTTACCCATTTAACTTCAAATTACTCATAAATGATTTGTATATTTTGATAATGCACAATAACTCATTCTAAAGTTCTTGTGCAAAGAGCCCAGTACTGACTACCGTTTCAAAGAGGATAACATGCTCACATAAAGCCGTAAGAAAAATCGAAAAAGATCCAAAAAAGCATGGTGAAAATATGGTCATCGATAAAGACATCACTTTGATGTGTTTTTAAATACTGTATCTTATAGGGAGGAAAGTTGTACCGAGCATTAGAAGCCTAGTATTCGCCAAGATATGAGCCATCAAAGTTGAAAATTTTGAGAGGAGATATGTGGTCGGTAAGAAACCTATAAAAGCAAAAATAATCATATACATGATAATTACACTTTTCCGACTTTTTTTGGGTCGCTTCACGCCCTTGACAAAACGTCGGAAAAGTGCAAATTTTACTTCCCTTTTGGCTCTTAATTTTACTTCCTCATTTTGCACTCAACAAGAGTCTTCTGAACAAGATCATGCCGCATTAATGCAACGTTTAGAAAATTAGCATTTAATCACTCTGGAAAAATCATCATCATCAAAAAAAAAAATTCAGTGTGCATAAATTTGGGCGAAAGTCATCTTATTCAGATGACTTTCCATGGAACAATTACTTCAATAGTCAATTTTCAGGTCAAGAAACTAAATATTGCCAAAACTGCAATCTAACTCCAGATCAAGGTCAATATTACTTAGAAGAATGCAACTTTTTTGATGATAAAGACCGAGTTATCAGCTTTTCATCTATTTCTAATACATTATTTCTACATAACAGCTGCTCTTTTAGTAACTGCACTTCATCATATGATGGAAGTTGCGTTTACTACGCTATTGGCAGCGATAGTTCCATTGTACAACGCAAATTTTGTTGTACAAAATGCCAAAGCTCCAAAAAAGGTCATTTTTCATATACAAAAGTTGGTCCAAATAACTTAAATTTTATAACTCTATGATTGATTCATGTAATATTATAAATAATAACCTTACAGAATCAGAATATGGAATTATTTACCATCAAGATAATTCTCTTTCTGTAAAAAGTTGTTCTTTTATTAACAACACTGTTCCTGATGGTAAATATTTGATATATAACTATAATGATCAATTAACAGTCGATAGTTGTTACATTGACAATTCGATTCCAAATACATTTTCTAGAACTGTAACACCTACTAATTCAAGAGAACTATTTACTAACAATTTGATTCATTTTTCAACTGATAATTGCCAAGCAGAATTTGCAATTATCAATAAAAGTATTTCCAAAGTTAATAAACTTTCTCTTTTCTTCATTTCTTTACTAAACATTAATACTTATTCATAATTTCATATTTCGAAATCTTCAACGAGCCAGTTTTACTGTCTCAATTTTATGAGACAATTTTTTTAAATAAGTTGAACTAGAAGGTCAGCGCATAATTTATATGATAAGAATTATAGTATATATATATTCTCATGAAATATTAGATCGGAAACCAAAAGTTATTCTTCATAGTTATAATTCTTTTAGCATTCGCAACATTCCAGACTTTCTGTCAACAAAAGAATGGCAGCTTTATGACAATGATGTTTAAGCTATGAATTCATAGGAGATATAAATATTGTTCAATAGATCAAACTCCTCTTGAATTGACAGCATTATGAAACACAATACTAACAATTCTTCAATTATTTTTTTATTATCTTTGAAGAGTTGCCCATGAATGCAAGATGAAAATGTTCTAAACATCACCATCACATAGGTGTAGTAGCTTAAGTTTTTCGTCAATGTTCTTCGTTTTCAACAATTAATGCAATAGAATCATGTTTGTTTTTCCTTTTGAAAAGTGACAAAATGCATGAAATTCAATTTGTGAAGATAAAATATTATCCATCAATCTTTTCTGCATGTTTCATTACAATTATTCTTACTAGCATGATGTTCTTACGAATATTATCTATCAAAATACAATCAAAATCTAATATTTTTGGTATTCATTTGCATTCTGCGATATATTCAAATAAAAAGTTCGAGCGTATACCAATCACAAGTATTGTTGAATCATTAACTGTATATGATTGCATTTTTCAAGATAATGTTAATCTCGAAGGCGTTGGCGGAGCAATTATTGCTTCAACGCCAGTATTTTGCTATAACTCTTTATTTCAACGATGTTATGCTGAAGCTGTTGCAGGAATTACCACTACAAGAAATCTTAATCTCGAAAAATCAGTTTTTGATTCCTGTCGAGCACCAAATACAGCAGGTTTTAAGTGTGATAGAGGTGAAACTGTTTCACTTAACGAATGTGGCTTCTCATCTCTAGAAACAAAAGAAAACGGAATTTTGCTACTATATTGGCTTAAAACATTCAAATTTACAAACTGTAATTCTTCGGATATACATGTTCTTTCATATGATTCGATAGGACTCATTTTTTCTGACACTTCTTATTTTAATTGGAATAAATTTTATCATATTAAATCAGAAAACATACAACCAGGAGTATCAATTATCGAATCAGTCAATTTTGTTGCAGAAAACTCAATTTTTAACAATTTCACAGCAGAACACGATACATTAAACGGAGTTTTCCAATCTTCGTCATCAATTAATAAAATCTCAGTAATTTCAAGCATATTTACTAACTTTCAGAAGCATATTCTCACTGCTGAACAACCTGCAGAATTTTTATTCATCAAATGCTCTTTTTCTGTTTCTAAAGAAGACGTTATTGTTTATTTAAGTGATGGCGAATTTCATTTCGATGAAAAGGGCTGTTCTTATAATGTTAATCAAAATATTCCTGAAATCACAATTAAAAAATTGAAAATAGACATTAAAAAAGAAGAAAATAATAAAAATGAAGTAGTTATAATCAACGAAGATTCACAGCCAAATTTTGTATTTTATTCCGTAATGTTCCTCATCGGACTCTTTGTTGGAGTCTATCTCGGCGTTAATATTTTTGTTTCCCATAAATTCCATTAATTTGTTTGTAATAATAAAGCTTTTTTTTGTTAACATTTTTAAATTTTTTATTTTTATAGCATATTTGAGATGAAAAACATATAAATATGATCAAAAGTACTTATCACTCATGTTTCAATTCTATTAATCTGACATCATTTAGATATAATGAATCTTGATTAATGAAACATTGAAAATAAAACCATTCATCATTAACTTTTCAATGTAATTCTATGCAGAACCAAGGCTTTCTCTAAATAAAAGTGGTTTATTCAATAATTTTTTAAAAATCATCATATTTCACAATATGTTTCTCAACGATTACAAGTAGAGTCTGGAAATAAGAGTCTTTATTAATTTAAATAAATACAAAATGAGACGACTCGCTCTTGAACCTTTGCCAGTCTGAAATTCTGTATGACAATCTTGTTGACTTCCTCTCATCAAATCATCAAATAATTTTATATGAACCGGACTAACCTTATCGGACTATTGATTCGTTATTGAAATATAGTAAATTTTCAAATTTGAGAGTAAAATGATGTGAAAAAATTTTTTGACTCCAAAAGATAAACTTTATGAGAATAGTAGAAATTAGTAAATGTCTATATGTTATATTAAATACAATAAAAACATGTTTATTATTAAATCATTTGTGATGTGATAACTCAACAGTCTTTTAGACAAAATTTTGAAATAATCATTTTTGATAATGAGCGAATACCATTATCGCGCAGACGGAGGCTTTGATATGAGATACTCTTCATCAAAAGCTGCATGCTCTATGGGACTTTGCAACAGTAGAGGCTTTTCTAATTCTTCTTATTCATATTCATGCTCACCATCAATCTCGAGTTCATCATCAAGTGGATATCATTATCGTCAAGATGGCGGTCTTGATATGAGATATTCCTCATCTAAGGCTGCATGTGCAAGCGGATATTGTGATAACAGAGGAAATATGTATTCTTCATCAAATTCGAAATCAAAATCATCAACAAACGTTAAAAGCGAAACGAAACCAGTTGAAGTCAAATCCGAAAAGAATTCCTCGGTAGGTCATAAGTCACCAAAGGAGATTGAACGTTCAGATCTTGGTCGCACAAAGTATGGATCAAAAGAAGATGGAACGAATTCAAGTCATATTATGTCTTTCCGTGTAATTAACGCCATTCTCAGCACACAGCCTGGAAGACCAATGTCAGAAGAGAACAAGAAGAATATAATCAGACAACTCAATGATAAGGGAAACTTGCGCAACAAGAGTCGTGCAGGCAACATGTATGGCAATGATGGTTATTCTGGTGATGAATACTTCGATCAGCAGATCGAAGATGTAATCAGAGGAAATAAAGATCGTTTAACGAATCAACGTTGTGTTGATCGCCTCCAAAAACAATGGGCACGCGTCCAACAGTCTAACATACCAACAAACGTAAAGGAGGCAATCGGGGAAAGCTTTTCAAAGATCCACGATCAAGATGGACATGTCATCATTCGTTCAAATGCTCCTTTAAATTGATTTTGTAATGCTTTATTTTCATTTTGTTCATTGAATCAAAAAATAAAACTTTTTATATCTGATAATTGAATTCTTTCTCCTTGTTATTATATTATAATGAAAAACACTTTCTAGTTAAAATAAAAATATAACAAATTATTTATGCTAAAAAATAAAGCATTTTTTAAAATACCGCATTTTTATGCTGTAATTAATATGATTTCAAAGATAGTCTTTCATTTCGTGTCTTGTGAGTTAGCTAAACTAATTGTCAGATTTTATTCAAATCTAATTTACCGGCGTGAATTGGTATTCAAAATTTAAGGTGGCCGTTTCTGGTTAAATCCATTAAAATCTGGGAAACTCAAATGGTAATAATTTTTTTTTCAAAAAAAATTCGGATTTTTTTACCTTGGGGTACGTTTCCCAGCGGTTATTAACCAGAATCGGCCAGCTTACAAAATTTAATTAGCAGGCTTGTTATTATATTATAATGAAAAACGTTTTCTAGTTAAAATAAAAAGATAACAAATTATTTATGCTAAAAAATAAAAAAATATATAATATAAAAAATAAAAATAATATAAATAAAACTCACAATCCAAAGATAGACTTCATCTCCTCAGCAGGGCTCTTTGTCTTAACAGCCTTATACTTCAAATCATTCTGAATTGAATTTACAATCTTTTGAACTTTTTCGTCATCAAACAAAGGAACATCTTTCTGGTCTTCTTCAGCTTTATTCTCTTCTTCTTCATGCTGATTTTCTTCGGCTTTGTCACTTTTCTCTTCAATTTTGTCACTTTTTTCTTCAATTTGATGATCATTTTCTTTTTCTTCTTCACTTCTTTGATTTTCTTTCTCATCATCACTATCTTGTTTCTGGTTTTCCTCTTCCTTTTCCTGTTCATCATTTTCCTCATCAGACTGGTCTTCCGTTTTCTCCGTTTTCTCTTCTTTCTCCTCTTTTTCTTCATCACTTAAATCGGCGGTTGCTGTATCGTTATCGTCGCTATCGTTCGGTGACGGTTCTGACGCTTCCGGAGTTCTTGGTCTTCCTCTTCCTAGTCTTGATTCCGCTGAGCAAGAGTGCTTCATTTTTGCCGAACTTTGGCCACCTGTTGGCAAATTTCTCTTTGGAGCATTGTCCGCTCTTACGTGGATTGCTCCAATTGTAGATACAATTTCCTGTGACTCTGCTTGTATCATCTCGAGGTCATCTACAACTGTGAACAGTAAGTCACCGGGAGAATCGCTCATGAGCAGTGGGAAAAGTAAGATTTCGGTTGAAGCATTTGGTAATTTCGAACGAGGTTTCCTTCTCTGTTTTTTTTTACCTTGCTCGATCTCTTTCAACCGCTTCGCCTGCTGCTTCTTCAGCTTTGTGGCCTCAGCCGGTGAGAAATGAGGTGTTTCATGGGCGGTTATCGAGTTTGCAGAGTTAGTTCTGTGGAATTTCGGCTCAGGGGGTGCAGAACTCTCTTCTTCGTCAGAGAAAGTCCAACTGAGGTACCTGGAAACATCATCTATGATGGCTGGAATCCAGTCTACGCCGAGAGTTAGTGGAATTCCGGCTTTGATTCCGGTTGGAACGTCATCTGGTGAAGTTGCGAGGTGGTTCCTGAGGGCAAAGAGGCCGGCCATGATAGTGCCGTTGTACTGGAACAGTTTGATCGAACAATTTCCGTACATTGATCTTGGCATGAGATAGAGAACGGAAGAAGGAATTCGGGAGGCATCCAGAACGAATCTGGTGTCTGTAATTTGGAATAATGTGGTATCGACTTTGTCTTCTACGTTGAATTCTTCGAGATCTCCGATTAATCCTTCCAAAACACAGATAAATTGATCGGAAGCAAGGTCTGTAGCTGCAACAACGCCATCTTCGGTCTTCCTGAGTGATGCTGGCCGTGGCTGAGTAGTAAATTTAACAATTTGGTTCATATGTTGTATATCTACCTGAGCATTCTCTGTAAATTCGATGTCTTTCTCAATTTCGTCGTTATTGGATTGATGTGGTTTGTATATATCGTTTGTAATTAGTGAATTAAACACAGCTTTGAAAATGTCTTCGGACATGTCATATAACTGCTTGCATAAATACTTAATAGCTGTAAGGAATGGTATGACTAACCGGTTTCTCTTCTTCTTTGATGATTGCGTCGTATATCTTGGATGGGCCACGTAAAAATACGAACGGAATTTATCGTAGAGGAGTTCGCAGAAATCTCTTGCATTGAGGGTTTGATCAGCGAGGTCATTCTTAATGAAATCTGTGAAAGGACTGTTTGAAAAATCTTGAAGAAGATCTTCGATTTTTGGCTGAGTAAAAGTGATTGGATTGTCATCAAGATGTATGTTTGGATTCATGTGAGGCATTTCGTAATGGAAATTCGATCGACCGCAAAAATAACAAACAAAGTCGCCTTTCGGCATATTTCCGTATCCTAGGCCTTCGCAACGTTTATGTACGTAATTTCCGCATTTAGTGCATTTAATAAGTGCAAATCTAAAACTCAAATTTCGACCACATCGACATCTAATTTTCTTATTTGAGCAAACATCGCAAATGTATTTTTCTGGGATTGTATGATTGTTAAGACCGAGACATATAGCATGTTGCCAGCATCCACATTGCTCGCAAACAACAAGAAGACCATCACCCGATTTTACATTGCAAACACAGCGTAATGTCCATGGTTCTCCTTGCTCATCGTGCATAATGATTTCGCGCGGATGTTCTGATTCCTCCGGTGGCGTTTCCTTTGGAGGTGGTGGCTTAATCGGAGATGGTTTTGAAGGTTGTGGAGGCGGTGGGGCTTGTTTTGGCGATCTACCACGCTGCCCTGGTGATCTCTGATTACGTACAGCCGTTTGTTTGTGAGTTTCTCCAAACGAAGGTACGTATAAATAGATATCTGTTGGTGAAATCGATTGGCTTTGTTGGTCGAGCCTTACAGCACTCGGAAATTCTGTCCACATAGTGTCTTTCTTTGCCTGACTTGCTTCTTGTAGAATTCCAGGAAGCAGAGTCGCTGAATGCTCGAGTTTTATCCCAAGCATTTTTGTTGTGCTTTACAAAAAAAATATAAAAACAAAACTTTTTGATTATTCAAAAAGAACAATAGTTCAATAACAAAACAATTTGCTTATCTCGAAAGGTGTTATTTCAAATTTTCCAAAAATAAATTTTTCAATTAGACTCAATCTAAGCTTTATTTGTTTCATACTAGGTGCACATAAAGTTTAGAACCTTTCCACAGGCTAGAAATAGCCACATTTCTTTTTGACTACATAGAATGATAATATCGAGAAAATTATTTGATCAGCAATTAACCATTTATCTTAAAAGGTTCTAAATTTAAGAAAGGAAAAGAAATTTTCTCATTTAATATATATAATTATTTCATTTGTATATTTTTTTGTTTTTAAGGACAATTCTATGGAAAAAGGAATAGCTTATGAAAAAATGAGATCGATTGCGTTAATAAAAATAACAAAACAAAGATAATATTTATAAAAATATATAAAATAACAAAAATACATAAAATTAAAGTCATAAAATGTTAATGTGAATTTATAAGAGTCCTTGCCTTTCTTATCTGTTCTTTCATTTCAGGGTGATTGAAGTCATCAAACTTTTCATCAGCATATTCAATAAATTTAAGTCCGCACGAATGAAGAAATGTTGTCATCTTACTCTTTAATCTGTCTGAAAGCAAGATATATATCAATCCATCATTTTCAGCAACAAATTGTAAAATTAATTCTTCGCTGACGTTTTTATCCCTGAAATTGATGATTGCATTGATTATCTTATCAATGAGTGTCTTCAGACTCTTCCTGAAGCCTAAATCTTGGATTATATCGTCAGATACTGCTTGTGCAACTCCTTTTATGCCTGCAACGAGTCCATTGTATAGATTACATGCGTATTCAACTTCTACCTTCGAATTCTTGTTGACATAGATTGAAAACAGCTCTTCCATCACGTGGAAAAAGTTTTCAATAATTTCGATCGGAGTTGTTCTCTGTAATGAGGACAAAACCGTGCCTATCGTACGCAAAAATGCTGGAGCGAGTTCGAAAGGATCCTCTCCGAAGTTCTCTACCTGCTGTAACATCATATTAAAATCTTCACCGAGGTAATCAAGGGCATCGGTCTTAAAACATTCGAAGAAGACACCATACATGTGGGCTGCCAACTTAATTTCAGTCGGATTCATTGATCTGAGGAATTCTTTCAACAAAACAATTATAGGATCCATGAATTCCATCATAATATTAGTATCTATCTTCTTTAGACAGCTTTCTAATGCAGGAAATGCATCACTTTGCAAATCATTATTTCGACTCGCTTTCAATAACATGAGGACGATAGACTTTACATTTTCTATCAAATTTTCTATTGGACATTGATCAACGATTTTTTTGAGAACTCTTAAGTAGCCAATTGCTTTATTTTGCATGCCATCAGGTCTGTCTACCGTATTCTGCATGAATTCTGATATGACTTCGAAGGAATGAGCTGCTAATTCTGCTAATTTTTCGTTTTGTGCTTCAGAACTTGCATCAACTAAATATTCCATAGCTACAAACGGCATAGTTGTCGAATCATACCCAAATTGTTGATCCATGGCCGGTAAAATGATGTCATAAAAATTATTCCACCATTGAAGGATATAACTCTGCGGAACGTACTGAATAACAGTCGACAATATATCAAATACCTTAATCGAGATCCTAGAATCACGCAATTGAAGCGCATTAATACACAAATTGTAAATCATGAAAAAAATGCCATCCTGAGCGATCTGAGTCGTTATTTTCGGTATCACTAAAGGTATCAAGCCAAGCATCGTATATACAAGCAACAACTCCCCTTCGTGGCCGACAATATTTATACTTTCAATAACTTCAAGAATAAACGACTGATAGCTCTCGGAATTCTCAAGAGGGGATGGGTCTCTTGACGAACATGTTGCGACTACCGATAAATACCCAGCGTATTTTTCTGTCAAATTTGACGAATCATTTACGTTTTCGTGGAAGAATTCTACGATGTAAGGCAGCATTTCGCTACTGTCAGCCTCCCAAAATGCTTGTAATGCGATTGTTATGACCGCATGTATTCGATCTTTTTTTGATAAATTTTCTGGTTCTTCGGGTTCTCTTTTAAGGGAATATAGAAGCACAGGGACGAACTGTACGTAATTGGACAACGTTTGCTGTACTATTTTGGTCGGAGCTTCGAGTTTGAACAACATCAGGGAATATGCGCCATAAACAGCCATTGAAGGGTCTTCTTTCGATAGAAGTGTATTGATGAGCTCGAGTATCTTGTCCTGCATGAAAAACTGGTGAAATGGATAACATGTTTTCATGATTTCGGTCATAATCAAAGATGCGTGTAAAACTATGTCTGATTCGGGTGATTCGATGAAATGAGCGATGATTAAGAACACTTCATCGAGTTTCTCCATGTTAGAAACCTCTAAAGTGTCTGGTTCCGCGATTATAAAATAATTTGGAAATTGTTTGATAAGGGAGCATAATACTTTCATGCCAGGGATTGCGGCTTCACTGTCTTCATGTAGAGAATATGAAACGAGGCTGAAAAATTGCTGAAATTGAGTAAAATTTATTTTCAAATCTAAGTTTAAAATTTCTTGGAGAATTGTAATTACACACAATCTACCCGTTTCGCCACGTTCATCTGTAGCGACATTAAGTATTGTATTGAAAATATCATACCATTTATCACCTTCGATTCGTAAAACTTGAGCTAGAACAACTGAGCCCATATTTCGAACGAGAATGCTAGAACTGTTTATAGATAAGATGATTGCTTGCTTGATAGATTCTCTAATTGGTGTAAAATCTTCGGATTCCCAAATACTTTTGATATTTAGTATTCCAAAACGACGTCGAGGTGATGTTGCTGATTTTATGAATGATAATGATACGACTGATATGTTTTCATTGTTTCCATTCTGAAGAATCGCTCTTGATGCAAGAAATAAACAATATGAAGTGTTTTCGCTATATAAATCATCTAATTCGACATTAGCATTATTGATTTTCTCTGTTGTTCCACTATAGCTTTGAACAAGAAGATGAAGAAAATGCTCAAAATCTTCATCTTCCTGCATAGTAGTGTCACTTTTAAGAGTGAATTCTGGAAAAAAAACATTATTATTATTATCATCAATACATTTCTCATCAAATAAAGCTAAAGATGATGCTGCTGCCTGTCTTTGGAAAAATTCAGATAATGACATTATAACAACATTTAATTATTCAACTGTTGTTAATAATTTAGGAACAGGTCAATTTGATATTATGTTTTTTGATTATAACTCTATGATTGATTCATGTAATATTATAAATAATAACCTTACAAAATCAGAATATGGAATTATTTGGCATTCAGGTAATTCTCTTTCTGTAAAAAGTTGTTCTTTTATTAACAACACTGTTCCTGATGGTAAATATTTGATATATAACTATAATGATCAATTAACAGTCGATAGTTGTTACATTGACAATTCGATTCCAAATACATTTTCTAGAACTGTAACACCTACTAATTCAAGAGAACTATTTACTAACAATTTGATTCATTTTTCAACTGATAATTGCCAAGCAGAATTTGCAATTATCAATAAAAGTATTTCCAAAGTTAATAAACTTTCTCTTTTCTTCATTTCTTTACTAAACATTAATAAACCTTCATAATTTCATATTTCAAAATCTTTAAGGAGTCGGCTTTACCGTTTCAATTTCATAAGGCATTTTTTTTAAATAAGTTGAACTAGAATGTCAGCAAATAATTTATATAATAAGCATTATTGTATATATTATAATGATATAACCTATTAATTACAAGATGGGACCACAGCCTTATAATATTTACTCGAATATCAAACACTTTTCCCCACATTTTTATTTTATTAAAATTCAACATCAAAATCGATTTCAAATACATTTAAAAATATTTAGGCGAAAGCAATATTTCTCAATTTTTCAGAGCCTCTCAAAGTATGCAGTGGCCTCTTAAAGGATAAAAATGACATTCTATGTCACATAATTAGATGCAAAGCCGTTATTTTCCAACAACAACAACAACAATAAAAAAAATAAAAAAAGCATAACAGGGTTTTACATGGGGTGCAAAAAACGCGCAAAAACGATTATTTAAAATTGAATCTGTGCATATTTTGCGCATTTGAAAAAGTTTGGAGTTGACTATTATAAATAATCAAAACCATTAATAAAGAATAGCCACAAAGGCATATGCAAAATATATGCGCAGCTTGAATGTAAAATAATTGTTTTTGCGCATTTTTTGCACTTGTAGGAAAACCCGCATAACATATGAAGAATTACACATTATATAAAAATATTGACAATAATATGGAATCTATAAATACAACGGATCATTCGAAATAATAAATAATAATTTATAAATAAACAAAACAGTGAAAAATATATAAATAAATTAGTCAGTTACTGAAATAAGTAATTTCTCCAAGCCAAGTGAAACAGCTTCAAACAAGGAAGCAGGAATAATATGTTCATCAGAGATACCAAGTTGAGTAAGAAGCCATTGAACATTTGGTTTAAGAGAAGCACCAATTCCGACTTTGAAACCTGGATTGAAACTGTATTTATTAGGAACAAAAGTGTATTGGATTTTCTTCTTTGGTTCTTCTTTAGGACTAGAACTTGATGATGCCAATGAATCCATATTCAACTGCTTGGATGCATACTTCAACAAATCAACAAGGAACTCGTAATCAGTCAATGTCAAAGTTGGTTCAATTAAACCATCGAAATTAGTGACGAAATCGTAATGAATTGTTGTTCCATTGACTCCAATTTGAACTGTATCCAAATCACCTGTGATCTCTGGTAATTTAAGGATCTCTCGCAATGTTGGTTTGGAAGTATTCATGATCAATTTGCCCAAAACGATTGGCTTGAAAGCGAAATTCATATTTCTTGCAATTCTTTCCATTTCATCGGTAGAAATTGCAAGACTCAAATTAACGCCAGCAACTGTTAATCGGATAGCTTCTGAGTCTTTGAAGTAGTATCTGAAAAGTTCAACTTTGGCACCTGATGTAACAAAAACCAATCTGCTGTTTGGAGGATGAACAGATTTGACAATTTGGTTGGTAACTGTCTTTGGTTTTGTTGAAGAAACTGTTGTTCTATTTGCTCGTTGTACACCAATCATGATAGGATCAGCAACTGTGTGATAGAAAGACAAAAGATTTGGAACTGTTTGTGCAGTCGCGGATAGAACTGGTGAATCCAAAGATGCCAACAAAATAGAATAAGGACCGGATTTTTTAACAGAACTTCGTGTAATCAAATTAATTCTGCCAACAGACAATGTTAAGAACTGATCTTCCATTGATCGCATGTCAACAGAAATCTTCTTTAACATGAACAACAATTTCGAGTTCTTCTTGTTAGGTGTTTCGCGCTGGAAATAGATATCTGACAATTCGATTTCGCTTGTCAATCTTCCGAATGAATTCAATGAAATAGAATTGACAGAAAGGAAAATAAATTGTTTGGAAAGTTCGGCTCTGATTGGATATAATTTCAACAACAAATTGCCCGCACCACTTGTGTAGTTGAAATACAAATCGAAGGAGTTCAACATAAGTTTCAATTTGATTGGGTTAGTGTCATTATTCGTTGTAATTTCTTGAGGAATGTCTGGTTTCGGAGCTTTAACTGTTGTTTCTTCTGTTTCATCTGACTGGAAAACTTTCAATAATGGCTGGACCCAAACATCATTGAACAAAGAGATTTCTTCGATTTTGTCTGATGAGATAGATACTTCTATTTTGCTGATGGCGATTGGTAAATCGTTTGTCAACAAAGAGGCATCGATTCTTGGAATATTTAACTCAAACAATCTTGCTGTTCTTGCATAAGAATTTGTTGGAGTGTAAATATTATGTGTCCTCAAATAAATGTTGATCAAAGAAGCATTCGTTGCATTTGTCGTTGAAGAATGCATGATCTGCAAAGAATTAAAGCCAACAACAGCGGAAACATCAGATCTCCTTGGTTTGCATGACAAACAGATCTCAAACAACTTCGTGTTTACGATCAAGTCGATTTTAATTTTCTGTTCGATTTGATCTTTGACCATCAACAAAGTTTGCGAAGAAGATTGAGCTTTGGTTGCCGGATTGCTTCTTCTTTTGCTTGGAGGTGTTGCTTGCAATCTTTTCGGTGTACTTTGTGAAGATCTCGGTGTTGATAATTGCGGGCTTTGGGAAATATTTTGTTTCGGTGTTGTCTTGAGAGTTTTGAGTAATTTCATGATCCAATCGATCAAAAGAGGTGAGAAAGTTGCTTTTACGTCATTAGGAATGTTGACAACGACATAAGCATGTTTCTCTTTGAGTAATAGTTTAAGAATGATCTTTGGAACAGGAACAGAATTAGCGATTGGATACAAAACTAATTCAGTATCAAGACATCTAAATGTTGTATCAATTTCTAAGTTATCAATCTTCTTTTCTTCTTCATTTTGAGTGACAATTTGTGTTTCATTGTCATCTTCCTCTTCTTCGAACTCTGATTCAGTTGTTGCTTGAGATGAAGATGTTGGAGTTATTCCTGAGAGATCAACAACTTCTATGATTCGAACAATAGCGCTTGGGAATGTTGGGAAGAGTTTAATCTTCAATCCTGCGATGGAAGCCTCTAAAGAGACTTTGTTTTGGAAGGAAATCAAATTGAGATCAACTTGTTTCAAAGAAATCAATGACAAATTGTTGTTGTCATCATTGTTCGATCTCATTGTGCCTTCGAAAGCATCAGAAGAAGCTCCTGTTGTTGTGGATGTTGACTCAGCAGAATCCAAAACTAACGTTGTCTCTTTGATGCAGAAAACAGCAGCATAAGCTGTTTTCTTGTGTTGTTCTGAAATTCTTGTTTGAACACAAAGAGAAACAATTGGAATTTGGAGGTGACATTCTCCAGATTTTTGAAGGGAAATTGATACAGATGTATTCCTTATTTCAAAGAATAACTGGAGATCAATCAAATCTGGGAATGCTAACGCGTCTTCCTCTTTTTCTTTGAACTCGAATCCCATGGAATTAAGAAGAATTCCTGCTCCTTGATCTGCTGCTTTTGCAATTGTTTTGTTGAGATCTTTGAACAGTTTCTTGACCTTCTTCTGGCGTTTGACTCTATGCTGTATCGCTTTGCCAAACTCAACAAGTTTGTTTATGTTGGCAAAGAAAATTTGTGAGAAATTGGCGGTTGGATCTGACATTGTAAACTTCAGAATATTATTCATGAAAGAAGCATAAAATTCCATTGTCAAAGTTGCCTCGAACAACTGGACAAAGAAACCTTGTATTTGTGCCTCGAATGATAGAGCTTTGGCTAATTCAAGATTGACAAACAAAGCTTCTAAACCGACAATCATCGAGATTTCTGGGAAAGAAACAGAAATTTGAGGCATCAAAAACTGGAAATTGACATTTAACTTCTTTGATTGCGTGGATTTCTTTGTTTCTCTTAGAGGTATTGTCTGCTCTTTCTTCTTCTTTATTTCCTTGATGACTTTCTTCTCCATCCTTCCTAATATTGAGTTGACCAAAATCAGCAAAGAACTCAAACTTTCGCCATTTCCAACAATGTTTATTTGTCCTAACATGAGGAAAATAAGAAGTTGTAAGTCTTGTACATTGAAACTTCCATGCAACAAAAGAGGAGCAATTTGTACAGAAAAGATATTGGAAACAGAAATGATTGGCTCGTGGATAAAAGTGAAGAAAGTCAAAGCGTTTTCTTCGTTGGAAGCCAAACCAGAAATTGCTGGTAATTGGAAAACAAAATTGACATCTTGATCCAAAATGCATGTCAATGTTATTGGTTCAATCAAAACAGTTACATTCAAAGCATCTAAGATTTCCTTGAGTAAATTATTATCATTTTCTTTTTCTTCGTTATCAAGAACATCTTCGACTTTGAATGAATCTCTTTTGATACTTGATCTTTTCCTTGGCATAAGTAAAGCTTTGTTTTCGTTTAAATTGAAGCCCAAACTCTTTTCCAAGTTTGGAACTAAATTCAACACGAAAGTTACAGGGAAATCAATGTCAATAGGACCAATTCTCAATGCTCCTTCCAATGATTCGCTTCTCTGGCAAAGACTGAATGACTTGAAATTGGCAACGAACATGTCACTGATTCTCAAACACAAATCATTGATTGATCCTGTGAAAGAGAATTGTGTTGCTTGCATCAAATAAGGATTATGAGTTAAAGCAACAGCAGCTTTTTGTAATGTAAGAGAAATCTCCTGGAATTGAAGATTTATGTTGTTTACAACGATATGAGCATAAATTTTCGTTCTTCCAGATTGTTTCTCTTCTTTCTGGGATTCTTCATCGATATCTTCAATAACTGTATCGAACTGGTTGTCTTCATTCACAGCTTTAATTGCTTCAATGAATTTGAGAATTGGAGGTCCTGTTCTCAAACTTAATGATCGAATTCCTGAAGTTAAAGCAAGTGTTTTTCCTTTGGAATCAATGGAAATTGGGTAAGGATTGATTTTTAGAACGGATTCTCCCATTGGATCAGAGAAAATAACTGTCAAAGGTGGCAAACTTATATTGAATTTCTTGGATATTTCATCATTTATTTCGGATGTTTCTTCTTTACTTGAAACGTTCTTGAAATGAATATTGAAGTTCATTAAATCCATTGCTGCAGCTGCTGTGTACATTGCAGTTATATCTGCATTGTAGTCGGGATTCATGAACTGCATATCACTTTGGAATTGGAATTCTCTCAATCGTTTCTTTTCTGATTGATATTCATTTGATGTTTTGATTAATTCGAAGAAATCATCCATTCTTTGACCGAAAATCGGTTTCGGAAGTCCACTTAATTCTACTTTAAGTGATTTGCCCATTGTACTGATGAGTTTAGGCGATGTTGGCTGTAAATCCAATGTGACGTGACCAACAGAAATTTTACTTTTATCGTCACTTGTTGCGACCAAAATTTGAGGAACTTTCAAAGCGATATCTGGTTCACTTTGTTCTTTCTCGAGATCGTAGCAGTTCACGGACACTTCATTGATAACCAATGATAACTTCTTGTAATGCTGTTCGTGATAATTATCAAGATAAAGCTTGATTTCATCAACTAAAACCGTTAACACATAATTTTCATCCAATAAATTAACGGTTATTTTTGGCATGAATAAACCAATGACTTCTCTTCTGTGGAATTCCAATCTTGTGAATGCCGATATCATTGATCTCGTGTACGCGTCAAGTAGCATTGAATTTGATTTGTAATTCATCATTTCTATCAATGCTGCAAACAAAGGAATAGAAACAGGAGTAATATTAACAATCAAATTATGAGGAATACAGAAATACATGTCCATATTAATCTTCGAGAATTTAACTCTGTTTTCTTCTGTCATTAAATGTGGGTCCAAAATTTCTGTCCCTAAATCTCGTGTCAAAATTTTGTCAAATCTGTGAGTATAAAATCTGACAACTCTGAAATGATGACACCACATTGCGAGTCTTTCAGGAGTACAGAACAATTTCTTGGTGTTATAGTTAATGACAGGAATTTCCAATGTGTATTCACCATTTTCGAATGGATTACTTGCCAATTCCTGTGAAAGATCGATTTCTTCTTTCAAATCCGCGTTGAAAGCGTTTTGATCGAAAATTTCTGGATTAACTAAGAAATTTTCAGGCAAATCAGGGATTTCATTCCATAAGAAAGGATATCTCTTTAAGTTCTTATCGAACTGTCTCAGTAATTCCGCTTGTCTCTCTTTATCTTCCTTGTTTCCTGAGAAATAACCGTTTCTATTTACATTCAAATACAAAGTTGTTCTGAAACAAGGAATCAAAGGACCATTGTCGTATTCCTGTATCAAATGGATAACATCTATTGAAGGGAGAATCGCGTACATGTGTGTATGGTATTTATCATCAATTAAATTATCCAAAAACACACAAACGCCACTTGGTAATTGTGCACTTAAAATTCCAAGTTGACCCATATCAACATACAAAGTTACATCTTGCATGCAAACTCTTATGTTTCTCAACATGTAGAAATACCATTGATCGAGACTCTCCCTATCTTTGGAATCCTCTGAAAACCAATGATATATAAATGATGTAGTTACTTCTAATCCATGTAAAATATGTGGTAACAATGCAAATCCTGCAATTTTGCCGATAAAAACCGCTATGTCAGATGAAGTTGTCAAACCAGGTTTTTCCGAAATCGCGCGCATTTCAACGGCCATTCCATCCATATGTACTAATCCAACAGCGTCTTTCATCTCTTTATCACCGATCTGCTCTTTATAGAACACTTCATATGGTATATCCGTTGGCGGTAAGTTTGCAACAACAGAATCAATGTTCATCAAAACTTGCCAATAAGGGAAACAGCTCTCAACTGTTAAAAGAAGTTTGTTGAGAGTGCCTACGGCGCAGTTGTGTGTATCGTACATCTGGTAAGGAACTTTTAGAGTGCCTTTGTCGATTGACAAAACAACGGAAATGTGGAATTTGTAAGGAGTTACGGTCGGTCTGTTTTTATCGAGAAGTTCTTGGAGTTCTTCTGGAACGCGACGCTTGTTTACAGTGTAATTCTGAATAACATCTAATATGGAGAAAATAAACGAGAAATCTGATAATCCCGTCGCTTTGTAAATTTGGATAGTTAATGGGAAACTTGCATCGCCTCCTGGAATGGAGGACCATCGATATTCGCCTTTAAGGAACAATCTTTCGAAGGTTAGATAGTTGTTTATGTCTGTTCCTCTGCGAATTTTTAATAAATGGTTGCCTGGTCGGACAAATTCAGCACCGCCTTGCATCAGATCGACTGTAAATGTCACTCCTTTCTTCTCTGCTTGATATTCAGTGAATGGTGCAGTTAATCTGAAAACCAAATTGTTTAATTTGATTTCTAAACGGCTGTGCTCGTTTGGAGAGTGAACCTGTGAGTACGCTGGTGTCTTTTCCATCAATAGAACTGCTGTAACAGGCGCCATATCGACAACAACGTAATAATTCCATGGGAAAAAGTTGGAAGCGGTATCTGGAACAGTTTGGAACGGATACCATGATGCCCAATCAGTTCCAAGTGCTGTAAAGAAGTCAATGTGATAAGGATGCAAAAGTATGTGAGAATTATCAAATTTACAATAAACAGAGGTTTGTGTTACGTCATACCAATGCTCTTTATAGAAATTGCCCATTTCTACGTTTAATTGGTCGGCTGTAATTATCTGTTCGACTCCATAAGAAGTCGAAATTATTGGTTGTTTAATTTCAGCGGAAACAGTCATTTTACATTCATCTATTGTGGTCGGGAATTGAGAACTAAGGACATTGATTGTCGATCCTTCACTTCCTGCGACAATTAACGAGTCATGAGATAAAATTTGAGTAACGAAAGGAATAGTAAAGGTAAAACCATCAACGAAGGTAATATTGACTTCCATGTTCTTGATACGACCATCACTGGCCTGATAAATGACAGGATTGTTGAAATAAAATGGTAAAAAGAATTTCATAAACGAAACTCTTAGTTTATCTGTATACGGACCATATTCTAACGTTGTATTACCTACAAATTGTACGTCGATGATTTGTCTTGGATCTTGAGTGACTAATCCCAATTCTCGATGATCATCATACATAACGTAACATCCTGGGAGGTCATTTTGTATAGAAACATTTACAGTTTCTGAGACTATGACATTTCGTATCTTTTGTGATCGCTCATTGATATCTCGCATTGATGTTGCAAAAATTGGAGGATATTCGATAGGATGTGGAAGAACTAGGAATTTGAAATTGTTTAATTGCATTTCGAGACGAGATTTAATGTGAGATTGAGGATTTTCGCGAGTAATAATTGAAAATTTTCCATTTAATGATTGGGCTTGGGCAACTACAAAAGATGGGAGTGTATTATTGCCTACTGTGAAAGAAAATGCTTTAACTTCGAAGGAAAATGGTAAAATGGCTCTGTAAATTAAAGCTAAAGGATATGGGACGGGAGCTGGGTATTGTTCGCGTAAAAAATTAGTAATATCTTCTGCTGTTGCTCCACCATTGATTTTTTCGTTAATTTTTTCGACCATTTCCGTTGACCATTGGCGATTATAAATTGTAATCTCAACGGCATTTAACATTGCATGAAAACGTACTTTATAGGATTTTCCTTCATCATCTACGTATGTCGGAATCGGTCTCCAGTAAAATAATGTAGCTCTTACCCTACCGATATTTATTTTCATGTCTTGGTTAATGATTTGAACTCTATGCAATGTAAATTGGCCTGTAAACATCGAAAATGAGAATCTTTCGAAATGAATTGTGAGGGATTTTGGCAAAATAAGTTTTAAAAATCCTTTATAAAATAATGCGGTGAGATATTGTTGGAAAAAGAACAAATAAAGTAAAATTACGATGAATGCGACGAAGAACACTAGCACTGATGGCGTAATACCCGCACTAGATAGCTCTTCAGGCCATTCCATATAAAATATCTGACAAAAAGCCTTAAACGATTTTGATTATGTTATGGTAATACAATTTAGCAGTCAAAAAATAAAAGAAATCACAATGGATTAAAATTTTACATTACAAAAGTGACAAGTTGCGAACATTATGAATCAACATGATTTTATTAAAATAACACTGTAGTTTGTTGACATTTACAAAAAAAAATTGAGAATAATTGAAATATCTCTTCATTAAAAATAAAGAAGTCAAACGATCGCATTTAATTAAAGGATCCGCTGGATGGATTTCAAAATAAATTGCGGATATAGTTTCAGTAGTGGCACAATTTGTTATCTTGAGCTTTACTCGAGAATCTATAGCAGATTGACTAAATATCAAATTATAAAAACTTATTTTCCATGATATTATTATAAACACGTTATATGAACTATGTTACTTGATAATTAAAGATCAATTTTTTTGTTTGATGCATATAGCTAAATTCGAAATAAATACAATGCAAACAGAGTTAATTATCCTAAAAAAAATTTAAAGGTACCATAGATTAATCACCATTTCTTAAGGAAAATAAAAAACATTTTGGATAATTATTTTTTCAAAATATCGATTGAAGCAAATGTGATTGATTTAAAAATGATGTTTATTCCTTAGGTTCATCATAATATCCCCTCTTCTTGAAGTAATACATATCTGGTTCTCTTGAAGGCTCTTGTTTGCCTTTACCTATTATTTCATATTCTGCAACAAACTCCGTATATTTGTTATTTTCTTTATTACCTATTGCTTTTTTCAATAAGTTTGTGTTTTTTAAGATTTCATCCTGTTTATTCTTAGGAACATCTTCTAGTTGGCAAAGGATGTAGTTGTCGCGCTTTATAGTGACATTGCATTTAACTGTGCCAATAGTGATATTGAGAGAACTTCTATTGTACATATCATAGTTGTTTCCAACAATTGCAACTAAGTTTTTGCCATCAACAGGTCCTCGATCTGGGAATATTGTTGAAACACCAAATACATCTCTCTTTTTTCTATTTGCGCAGACAATTCCTGCTGGTGGACATGTAACAGAGCCTGCATAATCTGTGAATTTAGCTAAATATCCATCTCTCTTGCAATATACTTCTTCATCTCCCACCACTAACCTAACTTTGTTATCTGTGCCACACCATGCTTTGTAGCATCTCGATGTTGAGATCAAGCTGCCTGTGAAACCTTTTTGGAGTGTTGACATTGCACATGTAGAATCATTATCAAATGATTCGCCATAGTTTGAAGGATCGTATCCTTCTTCATATTCCTTCATCCTTTCTAATCCATTTTCACCTGTAGCTCTGCATGAATACCATGGAAGAACCAAATTCGCATAATCAAGCATTTGATCTGTACCAACAAAATCTTGTTTATTGTCTGGATTATACCAATCTGCCCGTTCTTTATCTTTAGGAGGTATATCGTTGGAATTCCATGATGTCAAGGAACATGTTCCTGTCCAAGTATAATCATGGAAGCAAGCTTGAAGTGCTGAAGATTGGCATTGATATTCTAATGGAAATGATTTTAGTGGTGGTTCAAGAAGGACTGACTCATTGATTAGTATCTTTGGGTCGAGTTGACTATTTAAGTAAATCAGTTCTTCTTCAAGGAGTTCTTCTGAAGGAACATACCATCCTGTATCCAATAATGAATTGTAGAAGATTGGCGAAAGCCAACCAGGTCCATAGGTTCTACCCTGCATGAGATCTGTGAAGAAAAGTTTTTCATTTGGATGTGCACCTGCTGTTCCGCCACCGCCTGAGTCTTCAAGTTCAAGGCCGATATTGATGAGTGTTTCATTTTTTACTTTGAATCTATTATTCACCCATTCTGTCAAACATGGAGATCTGACGTACATATGTGGAACCCTATTACCATTGTAGCTTTCGTATTTGCCTTTAGATATTTCTTTACCTTGCCAATCGGTATAGTGGACAATTGTAGCTGTTTCTCCATAAGGTTGCCATTTATTAAATAACGAGCTACTGAATGACAGAATGTGATTTAATTCGTGAATAACCGTTAAAATGAATTGTCTATCACCCGATTCTAGTGTTTGTGCCTCAAATGGTATCTTATTTGAATTAAGTGTAATTTCCCCATGTGTCGGTCTGCCAGTTGTGGGATGATTGTATGTAGAACGTGCAAATGCAAGGCCATTTGAACCTTTTTCAAATGATTCAGCCTTTACATCAATAACGAGATCAAAATCATCATCTAAACTTCTTGCACGATCAGTAACATTAATACGTTTACTAAGAAAATCGTTTACATAATTGAATGTTTTCTTGATTACTTCATTGTCAATTCCTTGCATTCGAAAATCAATTCTCAAATTATATGTTGCAGGATGAAGTTTTGGATTACATTTAAGGATGGGCACTCATTAGGGTGATGAAAAAAATCAAGTCTAGCAAAGTCAATATATTAAAAACAGTGAAGACTATTATATAGCATTATAGTGCACAAGCTCAAATATTTAGTGATGCATTTCTCGAACTTATTTTATTTATAAGTTAACCTTGAAACATGAATTTTAGTATATCATGAGCATATTTTTTTCTAATTTTGCAATACTTATAATATCATACCAGGATTCATGTGGAAGTCTAATATTTGGTATATAATATTCTTACAATAAATGTATTAATTCAATTATATTCAAAATGATGGGTCGCAATTTTTACTGAAATTGCAAATTTAATTTCAACAATGAAATTATTGTTTAAAAAAATAGCACAACAGCAAGATGGACAATCATATATAGAATTATAATGCTCCATATAATGCTTTGATTTGATGCGTATATAATGTTATTTTTCGAACATCTTTGTAAAAAATTGATTTTTGTAATTTTTGAAAAAATTCGATTTTATTTCGAGATTTCCTCTATAGGTGAAGTATATTGAACAATATTCCTATGGGAGAAAATAATTGTAAGTATGAGTACTTTCATTAATACTATGGGTGCCATGGTTATCGCTCAAACGATCAAGTTATATCTCGATTGCGTAAATTGAAATTTTGCTATTTTCTAAATTCACGGCAACAGCATTCTTTTATCCTGATCGTACATCACAATATTTGAATGTGCGACCATTTGTTCAAGAAACCGTCAAGTTATTCTTCATTTTTCATGCCGCGGCGAACAAAAGCAGTTGCAAAGCGTATAAAGAACTTAGTTCAAAGCGCGAAAAATAGGGTAGAGCCATATGTCGTCAACACTGTTGAATTTGTGCTATCTGTATTATTGAGCGGCGCTACATTTTGCCAATCAGAATTTCAATTCATGCTGAATAACATCAAAGTTCCGTCAGAAGCTACATTTCATCGAGTCCAAGAAAAGGTAGTTAGTATACCTATCTTGGGTACGGCGGCACTGCGTTCCACCTTACCCAAGATAACGGTTTGACACTTTACAAAACCACTAACGTATATTTTACAACACAAACGACAACACTAACTTAACCTTAAATATTTACAAAGCCGCCAACCACTTCACCTCACTAACATTTTCGCTAACGACTTCACTAATGAAAAAATAAACGTTCTCACTAACGTTCCCACTAATGTTCTCATTTACAAAAGTATTGCAGCGCTTCCCATTGCTGTGCTTCACACAATAGTTCATATTCTTCAGTATCGCTGCTGTCACTCCAATCGTCGGAGTCAAAATCACTGTCAAAATAAATGTATGTAAGTTTTGACAAAGCTAATGAAACACGCTTACCGTTTGTATCTATTGCTTTTATATATCTCCCATTATGTTTGTTGTCGTAAACGCTCAAACTAACTTTACCCTTTCTCCCTCGTATCTGATAGAATGTATTTTCACGAGGAACGAAGAACAAATTCTTGAACTCATGACCGTTGTAGTTTGTTATCTCAATAGTTTTCGTCATTTACATAAAAATAAAATAAAAAATTATTTAAAAATAAACTTAAAAATTAATGATATCACCACCCTCACACGTATGAAAACATAGCGCAAAAATAAATTTAGGGTAGAAGGGTAGATCTAACCTCATTTCTAACCTTGTTGAATTCATTGCTTTATAACTCTCTTCCTTTATCCAACTCTTCTAACTTCTTCTTAAGTTCAGCAATGTTGTCCTCATGAAGTTTAATCTTTCTCAAAATTCCTTCTTTATCTAATGGTTGCTTTATCTTTCTAAACTGAACTCTACCATCCTTCATAGTATGAATGTAAAAACCTTCTGGAATAGTTCCTGATTTAATGTATTCTACCAAAAACTTTTGTTTCATTGCTTCAGTGACTTTAGTCGTCATTTTACTCTAAGGTGAAGCTAGCACAGCGATAATGGATTTCATGACTTTTTAGTATTTCATGCAATCTTAACAGATAGCCTTACAAGTACTTCCAGTGTCCCTAGCTGTCCATCCTTTTTATATAACTCCATGACATTTATAATCTCGCGAAACTTAACAGGTAGCATAACAGATTAAAATCAGATGAGGTTTTGAACCAAAATTTCTAAGCAACGTTGTCAAGGATTTTTGAGGAACTAGGGACAGAGTGTGGCAAAGTCCAAGATTTAATTTATCTTCATCTGTTTCATCAGCTATCTCATCTAATATTCCAATATTTTATTCATAACTCGTGGCAAACTCACTAACTTTCATTATGTTCATCTGCATGCTTCATCTGATAGAAAGTATGACTTTCATTAACTCTGTGAGATAATGAAAACTACTAGGGACAGAGACCATGGCAAAGTTTATGACTTTCATTATTTCCAGAACTTAATGAAAACTACTAGGGACAGAGACCATGGCAAAGTTTATGACTTTCATTAACTCTGTGAGATAATGAAAACTACTAGGGACAGAGACCATGGCAAAGTTTATGATTTAATTTATTCTCTCACTAACAACAAACACAAACTCCAACACTAACGACAAAAATAAATGTCCTCACTTCTTAACAAAGTAATATGTACTTCTTACACCACCATAGCTCAAACGTTTCTTTTCAAACATCGATTGAAACTTATTTTGAGCCATTGGCTTTAGTCTCTTTTTCTTCAAATACGCCAAGAAATCTTCTTCACATCTTTTCACTTCATAGCCTTCTTTAAACTCCTCCTTGTTAAGTTCTATGAAATCCTTTATCTCATTCTTTGTTGCAATGGCTTCTTCACGAACGACATCGTGAACTATTTCATCACTGTTCTCATGTATGACCTCCTCACTGTTCTCATGAACTATTTCATCACTGTTCTCATGAACGACCTCCTCACAGTTCTCATGAACTATTTCAACACTGTTCTCATGTATGACCTCCTCACTGTTCTCATGAACTATTTCATCATTGTTCTCATGAACGACCTCCTTACTGTCTTTCATAAGCGTTTCAAAGTCTCCTTTACTCATTACTTCAATCTCATGCTGTTCACAGTAGTACTTAAACTCACTGTATATGTCTTTGTTGTATGTTATATTGCTTCCCATGTACTCCATGAATTTTTCAAGCACTTCCTCATAATTCACTGTTTCTTTCTTTCCACGACCTTCTAATATCATACTTGCTTCGTAAATATAACTTCTTGCAGAACCGTCTCGCTTTCTACTTCTCTTCACAAATTCTCTCATCTTGCCACCAAATACATTTGAACTACATGCAAAGAATTCATTCTCCTTCGCAAATTCTTTATATCTTCTGTAGCACTCTGTACAATTCCATCCGGATACAAACTTTTCATAGAACTCCTCGTAAAACATTTGGTAAGGTGTTTTGTTCATTTCGATGAGTTCTTGTTTAGCCCTGGTGAATGGTATCTTCCTTACATCAAATTCACTTAAATCTTTCTTCATGAAGTACGTCAGTAAGTTTGAATAAAACTCTTCATTAAAGCTTTCAATGAGATTTGAGAAATATTCGTAATTTCCTTTGTATCTGCTGCTTACGTCAATGACAACAAATCTTCTGTCGTCTTTGTCAATCTTTACTGAGTTGAAGTTGTTAGATATCATGATGATATTACAAACATTCTCTATCTTTCTTACTGGCTGACACTTCTGATTTAAGTCCAACTGAGTCTCTGTTACTATTGACTTTAGTGCGTCGTGGTTCATGACCTTAGACGTATCGCATGAGCTTAGTTCATTGCATACGATGAGCTTCATGTTCTCAATAGCAGCATTGAATCTACCAACCACATTCTCTATTGCCGTTATATTATTGTTGGCGTACTTGCTAATGAGCTCGCATAGAACATTACTAAGTACATTCTTACCAGTTCCTTGCTTTCCTATTAACAAAAGTACTGTTCCAGTCTTTCCACAAGGATTTTGAACGATGTAGGCGAACCAGTTCAAAACATACTCATAAAGCTCTTCATCCTCATTACATATGACATCGTGAACATGTTTCAAATATCCTTCAATAACGTTCTCATCTACTTCATTCAGTACCTCATACTCATATCCTCTGAAATAGCTGTAAATGTCATCTCTTTCGTCAAAGAATCTCATGCCTGACTTCATAAGATAGTTCTTGTTCTGACCCGCTTCATAAATCATCAGTGCGTTCACATCCTTCTCCTCAATACGTCCTACATAAATACTCTTCATGAGCTTATTGAATTCCTTGCTATCTACTGACACAAGTGTTGTTGTGTCTCGTATTCCATCATAATCTTTCACTAGATATGTCATACGTGCTCCGTCAATAACAACAACACATCTTCTTAAGTCATTTATAACACTAGCTATGTCAATACCTTCTTCACTCATGTACTTATTTCTCCTCAAGTCCTTTAGTGTGAAAGTGTCTCTAAGTTCTATTTCAAGCAATTCATTTACACATCCTTTGCAATACTTCTCTATAAAATATTTCTGTCGTTCTTTACTAAGTTTCTTAACAGCTCTGAAGAACCATGTGTTTTGACTCAAACATCCTTCACAACTTCTCTCATTCATTCCTAGTTCTTTCATGTCATTATCTTCAACCTCTATGGTCTCATTGACTAAGGTCAAAGGGTTCTTAGTCATTGCTGGTCTTATCTGAAACAATGTTTGTGCAACAGGTTTAACTAGTTCAGCAACGTCCTTCCTTAATATGAATAGCTGTTTCCACTCATCTTTGCTAACAGTTCTTTCATAACCACTGACAGTAATGATTTCATTTGCTGACCTTAGACACTTATGTTCTATCATTTGTATTGCTTTTGTGTAAGGCTTTCGTGAGCATAGGTTGTATATGTCATTCCTGCAATGTTCATTCATGCCAATAGTACTAAATCCTTTCTTTGCTGTTGATGCATAATATCCATTAGTTCCTGTGTTCGTATTGCTGTCTCATAAAATACAACAAGACCTTTGTCATCTATGACGTACTTACCGAAAACATTGCTTATATTCTTTAACCATGAAATAACATCCTCATTCATGCTGTCAAACATGAAGTAAGGTCTTACATACTCTTCACTTATAAGATACTCCACAAAGTACTTGTTAAGCTCTATGTCCTCGTGAGCGATTTCATTAGGTTTGATATTAGTTCCTTTTGTCATTGCTGTCATGTACTTCACTCTCATAGTTCCTTTCAATAGCGTAAAAATACTTCATTGTTTCATAACTGCTCTAAATTCTGTTCAAAATTCGTACAACATAACTTTTTAACATTAGTGAAAGAACATGAGCGAAACAACAACATCTAACATTACAGAAGAAGTCAATGACAATGCCGATGAAAACATTACAGAAGGAGCTAGTGAAAATATTGACGAGTTCAGTGAGGAAGAAGATATTGAGGACGTCAATGAGAACGTTAGTGGGGAACAAACTCAATGGGAAACATTGAGAAATCATGAAGATTATGAGATTTGTACGACATATCCTTTTACTATTCGTCGAAAGAAAAACAAACATATTAAGAGTGAATGCTTAAATAATCATGGTTATATTGAGCTTAGTTTAAACAACAAAACACATTTAAAGCATAGAATTATTGCAGAACAGTGGATTGAAAATCCAAACAATTTGAAAGAAATAGACCATATAAATCATGATAGAACGGACAACAGAATCTCAAACCTTCGTTGGTGTTCTAAATCTGAAAACAATAGAAATAAAAGCAAGTATGGCGATATAGTTTATGAGTTCGTTGATGAAATATCTGACGAAGCTGTTGAAATAACAGATTATGGTAAGCATTCGTTTGAGTTCTACTACTATGTTGAGAATGAGGACGCATTCTATTATTATACAGGTCTTAACTATCGAAAACTTCATATAAACTTTACAAAAACAGGTGCTGCTTATGTTTCTATGATAGATACAGAAAACAAGAGAGTAATCTTATGCATAAACAAATTCAAACGCTTGTACGGCTTCATGTAGGACAAACATTATTTTTCAACACTAACGCCAACACGTAGGACAAACATTCATGACTAACATTACTGTATAACATAAATGTTTTGTTATGACTTCGTCGTAAATGTTTTGTCATGATTTATCGTACATGTTTTGTCATGATTTCATCGTAAATGTTTTGTCAAGACTTTTTCATCGTAATGAGCGTAAATGATCCAAAAATATATTTTAGGTGAAGAGGTGAGATCTCACCTCTTTTCTCACCTCTTTTCTCACCTCATGAATTTTCATGATTTCTTCATCGTATATGTTTTGTCATGACTTCTTCATCGTAATGAGCGTAAATGTTTTGTCAAGACTTCTTCGTACATGTTTTGTCAAAACTTCTTCGTATATGTTTTGTCATGATTTAATCGTATATGTTTTGTCATGATTTAATCGTATATGTTTTGTCATGATTTAATCGTATATGTTTTGTCATGACTTCTTCGTAATGAACGTATATGTTTTGTCAAGACTTCTTCGTATATGTTTGTCATGATTTAATCGTATATGTTTTGTCATGATTTAATCGTATATGTTTTGTCATGACTTCTTCATCGTAAATGTTTTGTCAAGACTTCTTCGTATATGTTTTGTCATGATTTAATCGTATATGTTTTGTCAAGACTTCTTCGTATATGTTTTGTCATGATTTAATCGTATATGTTTTGTCATGATTTAATCGTATATGTTTTGTCATGACTTCTTCGTAATGAACGTATATGTTTTGTCAAGACTTCTTCGTATATGTTTTGTCATGATTTAATCGTATATGTTTTGTCATGATTTAATCGTATATGTTTTGTCATGACTTCTTCGTAATGAGCGTATATGTTTTGTCATGACCTCATCGTATATGTTTTGTCATGATTTAATCGTATATGTTTTGTCATGATTTAATCGTATATGTTTTGTCATGACTTCTTCATCTTGAGCGTAAAATGTTTTGTCAAGACTTCTTCGTACATGTTTTGTCAAAACTTCATCGTACATGTTTTGTCATGATTTCATCGTAATGAACGTAAATGTTTTGTGAAGAATATAACAACCGTCTGAATTCCGACGGTTGCTTTTTATACAAAATTCACGCAGGAAAATTCTTGAGTTTTGGTTGAAAGAATACGGTCGAGCCAAAAGTGGCTCAACCTCAAAACAAACATTTTGTGAGCTTACTAAGGAATTTATGAATGAATTCAAAGGTATTTGCATACATCCTGACCTCGTTCATTTTGTTGCTGAATGGTGCTCTGTAAAGTATGCATTTTATGTCAAATATATTATGGACTCCATAGATAAGAAAGTTCATGAGAAGTTAGATGAAGAAGAACTCGAAGATACAGTAGAGAATGCAAAACATTTTTGACGAAGTGAAGATCTTCACTTCGTCAAAATGTGATGCAAAAACAAGCATTTTATGAGCTTACTAAGGAATTTATGAATGAATTCAAAGGTATTTGCATACATCCTGACCTCGTTCATTTTGTTGTTGAATTCAGCAAAAATAATGTTTAGGGTAGATGGTTTTTAGGTGTCACTACGTCACCATGTGTCACTCGGTCATTTAACTTCTCTGAAAAAGTGTGACAACATGACATTTTGACAACAACACAGGAAATAAATGTTTACGTTAATGTTTTGTCATGATTTCATCGTAAATGATTTGTCATGACTTCTTCATCATAATGAGCGTAAATGATCCAAAAATAATGTTTATGTTAGAATGTTAGATCTAACCTCTTTTCTCACCTCTTTTCTCACCTCATGAATTTTCATGATTTCTTCATCGTATATGTTTTGTCAAACATGAACGTAAATGTTTTGTCGAAACTTCTTCGTACATGTTTTGTCATGATTTCTTCGTTTATGATTTGTCAAGACTTCTTCGTCGTAATGAGTGTAAATGATTTGTCGAAACTTCTTCATCGTAATGAGTGTAAATGATCCAAAAATAATGTTTAGGTGAGATCTCACCTCTTTTCTCACCTCTTTTCTCACCTCTTTTCTCACCTCATGAATTTTCATGATTTCTTCATCGTAATGAGCGTACATGTTTTGTCAAACATGAGCGTAAATGATTTGTCGAAACTTCTTCATCGTAA